ATGTGAGAAAACCAAGATATAAGAGATTCCAATAACTCCTAAAGGAGTATTAGATTTTAATTTATTATATTCAAGTGTGATGAGACAAAAAAATATTTGTCTTTTGATGTTTTCAGATATAAAGAAAAAAAGAAAAGAATATCATGAGATATTATTTAGTGAAAAGACTATGTATTTTGAAAAAAATAAGGAAGAATTGATACTGTATATTTTAAAATCACTTGTGGATCTAAGAAAACAAGCAAAACAAAATAAAGAAAAAAATAAATATAATGAATTTAAATTTAATTATTTCGAGGAATTGCAACTTTCGTTAAAGAAGTTAGCAAATTCTATTTATAGACAATTTGGAAATAGTCAGTCTATTCTTAAAAATTATATAATATCAGCATTGGTTACTGCATATAGAAGAAAGTATTTAGTTGAAGTATTAGAATTTGCAGAATCTCGAATAGCTAAAGAACTTAATATTTCAGAATTTATTTGGGAGTATTCAGATATGGATTCGATATTCATATCAAAAAATCTGTATTTTATAAATCAAACGATTCATCAATATAAGAAAAGATTATTGAATAAAAATAATTCTTTGAATGAATTTAAGAAAATTTTTTTTAATTTAATTAATGATATGTTTTTTGAATTGTTTACACAATTTAAAGAATTTGAAAAGAAAATTAATATATAGATAAAAGAGGAAAATCTATATATAGTCATTGAATTTGGAAATCAGGACTTCCAATATTTTATCAAACAAAGAAAAAATATGTGATGTTAAAATATAAAAAACTAAGATATTATTTTAATAATAAATAATTGGTGTTGAAGAATTATATAAGGAAAGATTTGGTGTCAAATCAGTTTTCAAAGAATCATTAGATGAATTTATTGTTGATGAATATACCTTATTAACACAATATAAAAAATTTGATAATATTTTATTTAAAGAAGTTGATATAATAAGAAGAAATTTAACAAAGATATATCAAATTATTATGAAAAAATTATTATATACTTTATTTGATCTTGATAAATATATAGAATATATTTATAATTTAAAATACACAAATATCGAACAATATTATTCATTTATTAATAGACAAGATAAAGAAAATATTTGGATTAAACATGTGTTTGAAACTTTAATAGAAAAATTTATCAGATACTTGTATTATAAGAAAGTAGAATTAGATATGGAATTATTTGAAATGACAGGAAGAAATAATACTGAAAATGACGATAAAGAAATTTCAATAATTGAAATAACACAAACTGATACTTTCAAACCAAATAATTAGAAAAATTAAAATGGAAAGATTATATTATATAAGAAAAAACAAATGATAAATTTAAGTAGTTTTAAAGATACTGAGATTAATGAAGATGAAAAATATGATAGTAATGAAGATGGAAATGAAGAAGAATATGATAATGATGAAGCTGGTGATGGTTTAGTTATTAAAAATAGACTTACAAAGTTTTTAAAATATAACCTAGATAAGGAGATAATTAGATTTGATAAAAATGATAAATTAGTATTATATGAGAATGATCAAAAGATATCAGATACAGAATATATTAAAAAATATATAATAGAGAATATGATAAACTTTACTAGATATTTTGATGAAGATAAATTAATATTTCAAAATGAGTTAGATATTGAAAAAAAAAGTTTAGCAGAATTTGATGATTGGCATTTGATAGATAGAGATTTCATCTATAAAAACACTACTTTAAAGCAAGCATCATTTACTACTTTAGAAAATAAAAGTATTATTCATTTTATAAATAGAATGAAAAAACAAGGAATAGAAGTACCTTCACCAAGATTTTCATATTATATAATAGCTATTAATTCGGAAACAGGCATATCAAATCAAATGGTATTGGTTGATCATTTTGATCCAAATAAGTATAAAATTGATAAATATCATTATTTAAAAGGTGTGAAATCGATTCTATCTGTAGGATTAAGTATTAGTGAAAAGGAGGTGAAAAACTTTTAAAAAATTTGATTAGTAAATACACAAACGATATTAGTGTGATAGATAATTTTATTGGTGAAAATACTAAAAAAGGTAAAAGAAAAAAAAAAGAATATCAAATATTAAATATTAAATGACCTAGAATAGCAAAAAAAATAACAGATTTTTTTTCAAAAGTTGATAAAGATGAGGAGGATCCGTTTGAGAATAATTAATAAAATATATATATATTTTTTTTTCAGTATTAAAGTGATCTCTATAGCCAGGAGCTTTTTATTAGATAATTAACAATATTTACAATTATAATGAGAGTACAACTAGCCACATGTACAACTTTTGGTTGTCTATTTAAGTAGTCTGCCCGAGTTCTACACTAGCCACCATACCTGCAATCTAACTAGAAGATTACCTATTTAAGCTCTCTGGCTTTTACAAGTAAGAGTATGACTAGCTATACTTGCAACTTTTGGTTGCTTATTTAAGTAGTCTGCCCAAGGTTCTACATTAGCTGCTATACTTGCAACCTGACTAGGAGATTATCTATTTAAACTCTCTAGTCACAACCGGCCTATCATTTCTTACCTAACCAAGGTATAACTCACTATTCTTATGCTAGATTTTGCAATACCTATAGATTTCACACCCTACCTAGGACTACTTTATCCTCAAGATAAACCTAACAGAGCGGTACATGTCCCACACATGTATTCACCTGCATGTTCGGTAACTTCTTTCTAATTTAGTCCTGTTGTGTAGCCACCATCGAGTTTATGTCTCAGACTATCTTTTAGGATACTGCTATAACCCGATCCATATCTTAAACCACAACTTTCTTATTTTAGTAGTTGTTACATACTCCTGCCCTTATATTTGGGTTCACACAACCCCAGCACCCACATTCGAACTTTCCTTCTTTCTCAGATTCTTTATCAGTCTCTCCCTTACTTCCAGCTAGCAACCCGGAAGGGTCAGTTCACCTAGACTTTAGGTGTCTATATGGTCTTCCTTCCCTTGGTATATGCTTCCAGAGCATATGTCCTTTTTCTTCAGTTTTGGCAGCCTGGTGGTTCAGCTAGTATGTCCTTCACTTAAGAACCTGATCGCTTGGTTCTCTGATCTCAGTTCCCGGTTTCAAATTCGGTCCTCCTGTAGTACTGTTAAAGATCACGCTACTTCCCAACTTGGGACTTGCCAAACAGGTTTTTGGTTCTTCCAGTATCTCGAATTTATTATGCCAAGGCTCCTATTCTAGATGGTGTGACTGAGATTACAGATTTCTAAATTTTACTAATCATCGAATAGCTGTTAACTATATCACAGGACTATTTTTCAAAACTGTCATCTGTAGAATTCAAACTCTAGACCTGCCGTCTGGGGGTGCGACAACTCCACCACTTCACTAAGTTGCTACACCCTTAATAAAATAGTTTTATTTAATAATTAAATTAATTATTATTTGTTAATTATTATTTGTTGTAGTATAATCCAATAACATATCATTACATAAATTATTCAAATTTGTAAAATATTCATTACAAATTTTAGATTGTTTTCCACCATTCAGATAATTCAAAATATCTGTATTTATGTTAGCTAAATCTTTATACATGAAATTATTAAATTCTGTTAAGTGCTTTTTTAAAAGATATTCAATGATGTTATATTTTAAAACATAAATTACAAGTTGTAATTTGTTCATTTTTAAGGATTATTTGTTCATTTTTCAGAGTTGATATTATATTTTCATAGTTTTCATTTTTCTTTTTAAGAATTTCTATTTTTTTTTGTAAATTTTTATTAGATGATTTTAATTTATCAATTTCTGATATTTCATTAGGTTTATCATTTTTTTGATTAATAATTTTTTCAACGATTTCTTTTAAATAATGATAATCAAATTCATTATCTTTAGAGTTTTTTTTTTCTTTTTTTTTTGGTTTTTTTATCATTTATTTTTAAATGATTTTAATAAAAAGTTAAAAATCGAATATAAATAAAAATTAATTATTATTAATTTAATTATTCATATTAATAATAAGGTAAAATTTTTGTGTAACAAAAAATGTTATAAAAAATTTAAAAAAATAGAAAGAAAATCAAAAAATCCAAATACAACATCTCACATCAACTCTCCTTGTCGATCACTTGAACCAAATTTTCTTACCAACAAAAACAAAATTTTCTTTGCCGGTGAGTTGCCTATATAGCTAAATATATAATAGGATAACACTATACAATGGTTTTTATAAAGGTCAACTAGTTTGCTAGCTAGGGACTCCTCTATATATTCGACATGCAAGCCAAAGCGTTAGTATACAAGATAACTGGCGAGAAGGTGGTGCCCTTGTTTACAAAATTCTGGTAGAGTGTAAAGTACACACTGTCGACGAAGTTTATAGTGATAAAACAAAGGGGAACAGCAAAGAAATAAGCTTTTCAACACACTCCTTAGAAAATTTAAAGGTCATGACTCCAAGAACCCTCTTCCATACTCTTGCTCTATTTTGGTATTTTTTTAGGAATTTTTTGCCAAAAAGTGGGAAATCTGACATACCCCCTCCAAAAGATCTACAATGTTTACCAATTCCAAATTGGAAACAGGATTGCCAAAATAGGCATGCAGAAAGGCTATCACGTATATCTGAAGCTTCTAGAAAATTCTGGCAGATTTTACTCTATTCCGAATGTATAGATACATATAATGCATTAAATTAAAGTCAAGCATTATATAATTTTTATAATAGTTAGACTTAGACTTAGACTAAGATCTAACACAAATACTGTCTTGTACCCTTTTTTTTTCAATTTTTTTTTCTTTTGTCTGTATTTTGTTTTTTCTTTTTTCTTGTTTTTTCTTTTTCTTCCCCCTTTTTTTTCGTTTTCTTGGTAAATTTATTTAGTTAGTTCCCCACTTTATCCTTTTGCCCTTTTTGAAGAAGGAAAAATTTAGGAAAAAGTAGTCTTGACAAAGCTAGTAATAAGCTTCTTAATGAATCAGAGAATATAGCTCTAGAAAGTTAGAGCCCCAATGAGGAAAGGTATTATTGCTGCATGAGGTCATACATAGGTACTTCGATAACCGGGTGAGTCTTTATTGTATAAGGAGAGAAATTTATATAGTTTTTATATATTTTTTTTGTAGTAGCCTATTACTATTACCTCTTATTATCAAGGCTGAACTACGTATTAAAAAAAAATAAAATAAACAAAAAAAAATAAAAAAAATAAAAAAAAAAAAACTAAATTCTGACAGTATTGTTATAACTTATACAAAATTATATACTAGAAACAACTTTGTATATTTTGAATATAAAGCTATACTTTATTATATAATTTTTTTCTCTGATCTGATAACCAGCTTCAAAAATTTTAACCAGTACTTTATTAGTTTATATCTCAAGTCAGGTGCTATTATTATTCAAAAACCTATATCTCAAACCATTTGCTACCACTACTAGAGATTCTATAACTAGAGTATAGTTTGAAAAATAGTGCTATATTTGTTTATACCAAATATATAGTTGTCATCTACTATTTAGAAAAAGTAAATATTGCTAATCTTTTAATAGGGGTAAGCTGTTTTGCTTACTTTTTTTAAAAATTTTGTTGCCAGAAAGAGTAAATAGTAGTATAATCAGAATGCTTTATATATTTAGTAAAATTTTTAAGTAAAGAAAAGTTATTTTAAAAAACAAAGAATAAACATATATAGCCCAAGAAGCAACTTTTCTTTTTGGTAAATAATAAACTCTAAATCTATTGGCAAGTAGTATATAAAAACTACTTTTAAACAATAGGTACTATTTTTGCAATAAGTAATAAACTCTGAGCCTACTGGCAGATAGCATATGAGAACTATCTTTAAATAATAGATATTAACTTATAGTTTCATTTTTAACTCAAGATAACTCTTGTAATATATCTAGTTTACTGTTTTTTGGTTTGAATTTTTCTCAAAAATTTTGGTATAAGGAATTATCTAGTAGATGGTTTTTGATTAAGTAGAAATAGACATATTTTCTTATAAATAATTTCTAATTATTTGGCTCTATATGTTTTATTAGTTTTGGAAAAAAATATACTTTCTTTTAAGAAGAGTATAAAAGCTATACTTCATATTATTACCCACTTACTTTTTCAACAAAATTTTTATAAAAAGTGAACAAAACAGCTTACTTCCATCAAAAGATTGGCATTGTTTACTTTATATAAATTGGAACATTATAGTAGATTGCAACTACGTGTTTTGTTTACTAACGAATACGGCACTACTCTACATAACAAGATCTCTATCTAATAAACCATATATGAATGTTCAGATAGTCAGAAAGAAATTTTTTCTTTAAAACATAGCTTTATAGTAGAGATATACAAATATTATATTTGTTATATAATTTTTTAAGCCTAGTATAGGTTATAATAGTACTCTTTTGTTTGCTTTGTTTTTTTTTTGTTAGTTTTGATATTTCTTCTTTTGTTATTTTTCTTTTTTTTATTTTCTTTGTTAGTATCTGTCTTCTTTTCTTTTGTTTTTTTTTTTTGTATTAGTTTTTTTCTTTTTATTAATGTTATACTTTCCCCCCTTTTTTAACTTGCTCTTTATAAAGAAGGAAAAATTTTAAGAAAAGGAGTACGATCCTGACACAGTATTAACAACCAATTGGTAATATTGGAAAACAAGTTTCAAGTATAGTTTGAGACTCTGATAGAGATAAATAGTTATATAGCAGGTTGTACCTGGGTACTTCAGTATCAAGTGAGTCTTTCTTATACTTTTAGAATAGCTTATATACTATTGTAAGTAGTAATAGTTACTATAAATTCTAATAAAGAAGAAAGGCAGAATCATTTAATATAAAAAAAAATAATTTCTAATTATTTGCAAAACTTTTTACTACAATAGGAGATATTCAACCTTTTTTTCAAAATTAGTAGATTTTATTTTACAAAAAAAAATCTCTGTTTTACAAATATCATAGATACTATATATTTAAAAATAAGCCTAGTGCTATTCTTCCCTAGATTTAATCTATATTCTAGACCAAGATTCTACCAGATATATATATTATTTTATTTTTAGCAAGCAAGTACTAATGGAATCCTAAAAAATATAGTTTTCTTTATTTTTTAAATTCAAATTCCAAAACAATAAAATACCAATAATATATACTTGCAATATTTAATTAATTAAAAAGTAAGAATATAGTGGGGCTTCAGGTGTGAAGAGAAAAAAAACAAATAGTATTAATGATAATATTTATAAAAAATAAAACTCAAACAATAAAAGTAAAATACTGTACATTTAAAAAAAAAGTGCCTTTAAAGATATGAGGAAAAAAATCTATCTTTTGTTCTCATATCCAAAGCATCTTAAAGAAATTAGTTCAAACAAATATCAGATATTTATCCCTTAATATATAGACCAATACAGGCAAATTTGCCTGTGTTTTTGCACTTTTTTAGCTCTGATTTACTTTTTTAAAATACTAAATATTTAAATAAAACTTTGCACAATTATATTTGAAAATAAGAATTACTTTTTTGCAAAATTAATTTTTATAATATGGGGCCTTTGCAGTAGAAAGGGCCCTTACTGGAATATAAACAATTTTGAGATAATTGGATTTGAACGGTTAATCACGTGTAAACAGATTAACAATCTGTAGTGCTAAAAATAAAATATTCTAGTTACAATGCTAAAAATAGATTCACCAATAGTCGTTCTTTGATAATTTTTGAAGGTAATTTTCGAGTTAGCAGTTGTGGCTCTTTATATATTAGTTCTTAATTTATTTCTTGATTTTAGCTAAGTTCAATGATATTCATAAGGTGTGAAAGATCTGCCGGAGATTATGCGCCAGTTAGGTTTATTTGTTTCGTTTGAACTTTTGTCTTATTACCTCTGCCTTTAGATTTGAAACATTCGTGTGATGGTCGAGAAAACTTTGGGTTTCATTCTAATTGTCATTAACTCCAAGGTAGCACCACCTAGTTTGTATGTTTAGCATGTTTGTAACAATTGATGACTGCTCTTTTTTTTTAGATTGACATTAGCAGTTATAGTGTTTGGATTCTCTGGGTCTAATATTGGAACAAATTATTGAGTAAAAAATTGTATAAATATTGGTTAGTTCACTTTTTCTTGTTCTTTGTTTAATTGTTAATTTTTTTTTTGTTAATAACATTCCTTTCTCTTGCGGTTTGGTGGTATTAGACGATGGATTTGCAAACGGTCAGAAAACTGGCATACTGATAAGTATCAGTTTCTCTTAGTTTTGAGTTTACTTCTTTTCTTGATAGAACTAACATATTTTTTTTTACAGGTTTTGGTTTTGATAGGATGGTAAATTCGTTTGAATAACGGAAACTGTACTTGGAAGTGAAGTGGGAACTAGCCTAATGATAAGTATAGTTTTTTTTTTCATGTCTTATGTTTAGCTTCTTTTCAATGAGAATTAACATTTCTTTCTTTTGTGGGTCTGAACTTATTAGAATGAGAAATTAATACTAGAACCGGGAACTGAAAATGGAACTTCTTTAGCGATGTGGGTAAGTGCCGCTTTGTTTCTCCATTTTGTTTTGTTAGTATAATATTTATAATACTAACATTTCTTTTTTGCTACAGATACAATTGAATCTTGAAATAGAACTACGAATTGGATGTTTAGGTAAGTTCTGAACTCTTTGTCTTTGTTAATTCATTTGCTGATGTTTTAGTAATACATTTCTATCATTACCATATTATTTTTTCTAGGGCATATAAAACTTTTCTTTAAGGATGTTATTAATTCAGATCGGTGAAGCATGATGATGTGTTTGTAGAGAAATATGTGATAAGTATTTACTTCTTTGTGTTTTTACTTTTTTTTTTTTAATGAGTCTAATAAAGTTCTTTTTTTAGGTTTTTTATATGAGTGCCGCAAAGAGAAAAACTGTAATTCTTATTAGATGAAGAATTACAGATTTTTTCTTTGTGCCACTCATATGTGGAGATATGCCATTATATTGTTGTCACTATGATGTTGTGATTCCGTCTGTGATAATACCGATTTTGTAAACTCTATCTTACAATATGTTTTGTGCTGCATTTCTGTATCTAGTGACAATTCCATGCTATTTGACCGATTTCATGTTTGTAATCTGATTTTGTGTTCCTGCAGCATCCCCAGTGCGCAAAATTTCCGGGTGATTAGTGATGGCGATTAGAGATGGGTGTTAATGATGGGTGATTGCTTATTGATTAGATTAGTATTAATAGCAATTCTTTATGAGAATCGATTACAAATGTTAATTAATCTTATATTTGCGTCAGTGATAATAAATTGATCTGAGATATGTATTTCTAATCCTGAAGCAATAATTACATAATTAATAAAGATAATTTCTATTTATCAAATTTTTTGATATAAATTACACCATAGTTATCGTATACAAATATCAAGAGCTTTAAATTCTAAGTTATTATTTCTTATTTACCAAAAATTTAAATAGCATCATTAATATTAAATAATTATATGTAATTAATTTAATCTATCTTTATGGGTAATGTAATCTGCTTTTGTTTCATCAATGTTGTTTTTTTAACCAGATTTTAAATGCAAGCTTATAACTGGAGTAGATTATTATAAAAAACAAAAAATTTTTGAGTTGAAAAATCGGGCTAGAAATTGACATCATTAAATGGAATCTCTGGCATTTATCAGGAAATTTTGAAAATTGATTATAATTGATTACTAAAAAGTTAATTGATTATGATCAATTGATTTCAACCAAATGTTATTCCCAGGGGTGTTAATAATTGGGTTAAACCAAAATCGATTATAATCAATATATATAAAATCAATTATAAGCGATTATACTCAATTTATTTTAATTTATAATAATTATGATCTATAAAATTCCCTATCACATTAATCAATGGGGATGATAATAATTGATTAAAATCATTAGATTTTAATTGACTACAATCTGGTTTCAAAATTTTCTGATGCTTTTGCAAAAGGATTTGTACTCTGAGCATTTTGTATCATATAAAAAAAATCATTATTTGCACAAAATATGCAGTGTGGTATTATTATATATATAAATATTTAGATTGTGTTGTAATTATATTTTATTTATTAATACTATAATAAAAAGTTATTAACTATATTAAATTTTTATTAATCTATAAAAAACTTTTAATTTGATTTTTTTGGTTTTGGAATAGTTGGTAATGGACAATATTTATTTTGTTTTTGAGGATCTTTAATATGTTGACGTACTTGTTCATATAAACACCATTGTCTTTCAGCTAATAATCCTGAAGGGAAAATTTCTTGTGGAAATCCTGCAATTTTAGTATTATTTGATTTTATAATATTTATAGTTTGTTTTTCTTCATTAATTGCTGTTTTAACTTCTACTTTACCTATATTGTCTTTATGTAATATAAAATGATGATATTTTAAAAGATTAGGAATTAGTTTAAAATATTTTGATAAAAATTCTGTCCAATTATAAAAATGTACTATTTGATTTTTATCTTTATCATAAATTGTTTGTGCTTGATTAAATCTACCATTGGTTGAATTTTGAACTACTTTCACTAAATCATCAAGATTATCAACTTCAGATTTTCGTAATTTTAATTTAAGAAGACCAAAAAATCCATCAGGACTAAATTTTGTATGCCCAGCTACCATAAATGAATAGGTAATTTGAGTATGTAAGTTAATAGCAACTTGTCATGCTAAATACATAAGCATAGCATTATTTTTATTTTGTCCAGCACAATTATCTGCATGAATAATTAAATTGGTTTCACCTAATCCATAAAGAGTAAAATAATTATGAACAAGTGATATAACTGCATTTGCACCTTTTCTAATACTTTCTTCTTCTTTAATTAAATAATTTTGCTAAAAATAAAAATTTTAAATAAATATAGTAATTTATAATAATAAGTTATAATAAATATAATTATTTACTTGAATTGGAAATGCATCTTCACAAATTCCAAAAAGTTGAATATTATAAAGAAATTTAAAATATATATTTCCCTTTAATAAAAAAATTATTAATATCTTGTATAATTAAATAGTTAAAAAATAATTAATTTATACCTCTTGTTGTGAAGAATATGGTATTTTTATTTGCTCAGCAAAATCCCATGATATATGATTTTCAAAATTAAGAGAATTTGGTTCATTAGATCGAGAAAAATTAGAAATTTGTTGTAATGCAAATTTTGATAATTTAATACAATTTCTAAAATATTAATTAATAAATAAAATTATAATAATTTTATACAATATTAATTAATAAATTTAAATTTAATTTATATATTTAAAAATGTTAAAAATAAATACCTATAATACTCTCTTTCTTTTTGAGCCCATTGATAATGTTTATTCCATTCTGATACAAATAATTCAGTTTCTTGATTAGTCCAGTATTTTGAATTAAATCGCATTTGTTTGCATTTAAAACATAAATCACTGCAAGGAGAAAGAAATTTAATTTCTGGAATATATTTATTCCAAATACGCCAAAAAGTACTTAAATGAATTATATTTTGATTTTGCTCTTCTTTTGCTAATACATATAGTTGATATAAAGATGAATAACTTTCACTAGAAGGAAGAAAAATTGTTGATAAAGTATCTTTATGAAAATGTTGTCCTTTATTAATTAAAATTATAATTAATTAATTATACTATATTATAATAATTTAAAATTTAAATATTAAATACCTGGAGAAGGTAAACTATGAATATTTGCATAATTAAATATAAAAGTAATTACTTCCAAAACTGTTTCAAATGATATAGCAAAATTACTAGTTTTTCCAGTTAATTTATGAATTCTTGGACTAATTCCATGTTCTATAAAATGTGATCGAATATTTTTTCAATATTTTTCTCCAATTCCATAAATTATTAAAAATGCTTCTTTACAAATTTCTACTCCCTCAAAAAATATTTATTAGCAAGTCTATTACGTTCTTGTCCTTCTTTAGTAGTTGCTTTTCGAGTAGTTGCAGATAAAATTCCTAGTAAAAACATATCTTTTTGATTATTATTTAAATTTTGAAATTTTTGATAATTTTTAACAGCATTTTCATAAAAAATTAAACTACTTTGAAGACACTTTTCATTACAACATATTGTAGTTTGCAATTTTTTATATTGAGCTTCTTCATCTTTTTTATCTAAATTTTTTTTTATATTTTGAATTAAATCATTATTATTTTCAATATTTTCAATTTTATTTTTTGAATAAATTTTTTTAAATTTATTCACTTGTTCATCACTTAGAATAGACTCATCTAAAATTGGTTTATCTAAAATAGATTCATCTAAAATAGATTCATCTAAAATAGAATTACTTGAAATATCAAATTCATTAAATTCTTCTTGATTATAAAAATCTTGTTCAATTTGATTATTAATAGGTATAATTTCAATATTGGATTGATAAGTTATTTGAAATTCTTCTATTTGTTGTTGTAAAGATTCTAAATGAGTATTATTAAAAATATCATCATCAAATAAAATAGATGGTAAAGTCATTATTGAATATTATTAAAATTTTTGTAAAAATAATTTTATTATAAGATTGAAAACAATTCTTTTATATATTTTTATTAATTTATTTAATATTTAAATTTAGGGAATTGCTATTTCCACCATGGTAATTTGCTATTTCCACCATGGTTACACAAGATTTTCTATTTTTAGATAATAATATAAAAATACATATAACCCTAACTTTAGTTTTAAATTTTAATATTATTCTAACCCTAACCCTAAAACTAATAAGTAAACCTTTCTT